ATATATATATATATATATTGCAATGGTCTATAAAAACTGCATTGTACAAACTTTCAAACTCCTGGAAAACCACACACTTAAGAGACATCTCGTTTAGAGCGCTTGCTGTCGCCACTGCTGCTCGTACACTATACCACAAATGATGACTTCTGTGTGAAATCCGCCTGAGAAACAAGCATATCAAACAACACAATCAAAATAAAGCTCTGCTTCATCCATTTTTGCACAGATACCATGTTTTAGCCCTGTATGCAAAGTGTATCACATGTGACACATGAGTTAGTTTATGCCGACTAGTTGCACAAAAAAAAAAATAAAAAAAAATACCAGATGTAAAATTTAACCTTCGATAAAGCAAACTGATATTTAGTTTAGCTTAGAAGGTTCAAGTAACACTCCAATTTAAAAAAAAATTCAATTTTCTGGCAATTTCAAAGTTCAAATATACCAAGCACACTTCATTATAACGAGAGCTAGAAGTACTTATTATAACAATGAATCCGCTAGTGGAATAAAAGGCAACGTTGTACTTACATCATCACCACCACCACTAGGTGCTGCTTGGTAAGACTGGTTCATCTTTGAACTGCTGCAAGAAAAATGAGGGGGAAAAAACCCAGTATTGACATCACCAAATATAGATCGCTATCATTTTTACATTATTAAACCAAAGGCACTAATGTTAAGTAACATTTAAATGCATAGAAATATGCACTTACCTTTCTTTCTTTGCTGTAATAGGAAGAAAGGAAACAACATCAGCACAGAGTACTTCTTACAGATACACTTTTTAGACCTCTGCCTGCCTGAATCAACAAACTAACTTTTCGCTGATCATCGTCAGAACAATGAGGACGGTAAAAGTCTGATTTGAATATAATGTGGAAAACTAACCAGGCAGATATCCTTTCTTTTTGGCAAACCAAACGGCAAATATCAGTAGGGCCACAAGCAGCAGAGCCACTATTACACCAGCAACAATTCCTCCGGTGTTTAGGTCGCCTTGAAGAAAACACAGGGAAACATAAAAAGGTGAACCAGCACACTTTCTTTGTGAGGTAAGGAAGAAATGACTCAGGCGAAAGCATTTTGTGGAGTTTAAAGTGTGAAAGGAACTTACGAACTTCCATCTTCATAGCTCTACATTTCTGAGCAGGGCCAGCATCGTTGAGAGACTCACAGTAGTAGTCAGCTGTATCAGTCTTGGCTGCAGCAGGAAATTTCTGTGGCCACACAGGTATATTTTAAACTTAAAGGCCAACACACCATATCAGTCATAGTAAAGGTTACGCATGTAACTAGCTAAAGCTTACCAGTTCGCCACTGGTTGAATTCAACTTGTAGGTGGCGTTTTTGAAGCCAGCAACGTTACTAGGGTTATCAGGCAGAAGAACGTTGTTTTTGTACCACTTGTATGTGGGGCGCGGTGAAGCGCTTTCATCAAAGCAAGACAGGATGGCTGTGCTGCCCGTTGTTACCGATGAGGGGACTTTACAAAATGGCACAGATGGAGGCACTGTAGGACAAAATGTTTAGTTTTTATCTGGACCACTTATAAATGGCAACATACGGTCTTCATTACAGCAAGTAAATGTGATATATAGTCTTACCCAGAACAGTCAGAGTCACCTCTGTTTCCCCAACTTGGGTTTTGTCAGCGCTGGTTATCTCACAGGTGTACACTCCAGTATCTTTACGAGTGACTTTGGAGAATCTCAGATTGCTACCACCATACACATTCAAACGGTCAGCATACGGCGCTGTGGAAGAAACGCAGCATTACGTAACCAGCATGGAAGTATTCAGACACCACATTCAGCAGATGGGTTTCAGGACAGGTTATTTGGTTGGTCACAGAAAAAGGTTTTTTCTAGTGCTGTCAGTGTTAATCTAATTAAAATGACGTTAACGCCATAACTGCATTAACTCGGCGAGCGCCGTTAGCTCGTCAACGTGTTAGTGCAGTTAGCTCGTTAATGCCGTGCAGCCCCACGCATGGGGCGATCCGCGGTAACTCGCTAACAGAGATTTTCCGCGTTAATGCAGTTTTGCCGTTAACGTCATTTTAACGAGATTAATGCTGACAGAACTAGTTTTTTCTTTTAATCTAAATCTGGATCTGTCAAATAAAACGGACCATGACAGGCACCAATGTGATCACCGTGACTGATATTGATGATATTTGTTACATTCACCGAATTTTGTCAACAGTGACATCAAAATAGAATTTTTGGAAAATTGTGGTTTTATTTCACATGCATCATGTGTTTTTGTTTTTTAGTTAAACTAATTAAAGTGTCAGTTAAAAGAAAGAAACGTCAAACTTACCTGTTGGTTTCCCATCGTGAACCACAAACACCTGAGAGCCTTTTCGGTCCTTAAACTTCCATCTAAGTAAAATGTTTGAACCAAAGTCTCCTGAAAATGAGCATGTCAAATCCACATCTGGAAAGAGAGAGGGAAATTTGTGTGGTGACACCATTAACCTGCATAATTCTGCAGTCTATTATTTAAATGCAGTTTTGTCTTATTATATGACTTCATCTTGAAAACCTCTGAATCTGTGATTTTAGCAGACACATCATAGACAGTTTGCAATTTTCCTGGGTAATCATTCACAATCCCATTTTTTGTTTTTTTAAATTCTCTATTTTTAACATGTTTGATTTCATTTTCTATTTATGCTATTTTTTACATGAACAGCACTTTGTGAACCCTGGTTTATTTTAAAGTGCTTTATAAATAAAGGTGGTATGGTATTCAAAATTTTGTTTTAAAACTCACCTGTGTTCTCTTCCGCTCGTACATTTGCCTTTGAAGTAGTGACCGAATATCCACTTACACCTAGACACACAGATTAAAATAAAACAAGTAAATAAATAGAACACTCAGCATCAAGTGTCAAGTCCAAAATACTCACTTCCTTTAAGCGAACCGGCTTGTAGCCTAAAGGAATATAATGCAAGTGAATGCACGGTCATGATAGAGCTACCATTCTTTGTCTCGGAAATAAACTACAAAACAGGGAAAGCATAACTTGTGTAATGGAAGGTTTGATATGAGTGATCGGTACAAGTGTTGAAGTGGACATGTAGCGATACATGACTAATTTACTTCATGGAGCCCTGTTCATAAAAGCTGACATGGATGCAACTCTGTCTGTGAAGCTTATTTAAGAAAGAAGTGGTTAAAGTAAAATTTTTAAAAACATGTTTAGCGTCATCTTCTGTCAGCACGGAACATTTCATCACCAGGTTGGTTGGTCGGTCGCAGCCAATAGTAACATTAGTTTATGATATCAACTTATTTTCTTTCTTTTTTTTTTTGCTATATTTTCCAGGTAACCTATATTTGACCAAAGCATAATAAAACCGGAAATTCTGTTTTTTGCTGTGTCACCCGAATATTTTTAGTGGCCCCCGTATGGCCACGCCTATGAAAACATTCTCGAGGTGCCCCTGGTTCCATGATCAGCTGTAAGTGCTATTATTACTGTGTGGAAGCAGTTACTGAGTCACCAGCGATCCAACCCACCTCTAGCATTAATATCAGCACACACAACAAAAAAAAAAAAAAAAATGTGCACCAGGAGCTTTACAGCATAGGTTTCCACAACTAAGCAGCTCTTGTATGCGTAATATACAGGTGGCTCTATACTTTTGTCTATATGCTGCTTGTGTGTATGGCTGCATACGGGCCAAGCACTCTTGAAACGCAAATGTAATTTATACACGTTTCATTACATGTGCACTGTCAGTGTAAATAAAAAAATACATATATACATGACCAAAAGAGACAACAACATAATATTAAAATAAGCCAGTTTATAAAATACAATAAGCTTACTGAATAAACCTATAAGCAATATCCTTACCATTTACTTGGACACACACAGACCCCATAATGGTTTATAAAAGAAAAATTAAAAAGAGCTTATTGATAACACACACTAACAATAGGCCCTGCAGGATAGGAACCTTTTGGGTTTAAAAATACTCATTGTGTACTCAATGTACTCTGTGTAATCTAACCCAGCGGTCCCCAACCTTTTTTGCGCCACGGACCGGTTTATGCCCGACAATATTTTCACGGACCGGCCTTTAAGGTGTTGCGGATAAACACAACACAATAAAACTAGTACTGGTACCGAAAAAAAGAAGATTTATTTATAACACACGTGAAAAGACCCAGGAAAACCGAGTAAACGATAAAAACGATAACAAAATAACGCTGAAAACCAATAAAAACCATACATTTCACACCTGAGCCTCAACTCTCGGGGCCCGGTACCAAATGATTCATGGACCGATTCCGGTCCGAGGCCTGGGGGTTGGGGACCGCTGGTCTAACCTGTCTGAAAAGTGAAGCATGGCGTGAGTAGGAAGTTTGTGCCAACCATTTGCTGAACACAAAAAGCAGATTAAAAAAAGAAAAAAAAAACCTACACACATGCACAGATAGTGCTCTGCTTAAGCTGCTTTGAAAATTGGGTTTTAATAAACTCAGTTTTAACACTCCACAAACATGGCATGCAGGAATAGGTGAAGAGACGCAAGGAGGAGATTTTGTTACTCAGGCTTCAAAAGGTAACATCATTTCAAAGTTAATTTTTTTTTGTACTTTGTTTAACAAAAGAGACCTAATGGTGTCTAAAAATCAATCGAAGGTTTTCATTCATTTAAATAAACTAAAATAATCATTCTAGGCTGACGGCAACGATCAGAAAACCCAAGTCCTCCCCAGGAAAATTATAAGGTATTCCCAGTAGACCACAATCTTCCATTATGTAAATAATCAGGCATACAGCACTGAGGATTGAAAAACACACCCTTTGCCTAAACACTTGGAGCATGCTCAGAAGCTTTCAGGGAGTGGTCAAGCAAAACATCAAAACAAAAGTGGCTCATTCCTGTCTGCTGAACCAGGAAGCTTCCGGTGAAACTATCGGCTCTCTGGGTGAAACTGGGTCTTTTCAGGCACGTCAGCGGAGCTTCGGGGACACTAAATCATTAATGCAGCCAGTAAAAAGCTTCTCTGTCACACCACATGTCCATCTGTTGCCCCACTCCACATTACACTGCACAGCTGCCATTACTTTAGAGTTACATGATTAACCACTGCCCTGTCTGCTAAGCTTAGGTGGCACAGAGAAGCTTCAACTACAGCAGAAGGCAGATAATTATTAACTCAGTGCAAATTCATTCTGTGAGCATTCATCACGTTTTTTTACAAGGTGCTGATAAAAATAAAGCTAAACTTCAGATTAACATTGATACAAATACACTGCTGGCATGTGTTTTCATGGCAGACCAACCTAAAGCCTGTGGGCATTTCTTATAGGCAATCTCAACCGAGATAAGTTTGATGGAAAAATAAGGTAGGAGTGCAAACTGAAAGAACACACCATGACTTCCTTGTTTGCATACTTTTAGAGTTTCAGTGTACATACATACTGAGAAGTCCTGACAGCAAATGTACCTGAGAAGTGAAACAAGTTTTAAAGGAACTCGTCTGACAAGCCAGAGTTTGATTCATACAGCAGAGTGTGCTTATTGTATTGCAGAGGAATGGTAGGGGATGAAAATCCTCACTTCGTTACAAGTTTGTGGGAGAGTTGTTTTATTTTTGTACGTAACATACACACGTGATAACCTGAACAGACTTTGAGTTTACTAACTGTTAATACCAATCCAGAAAAATTAATGTGAAAATACTTGACATCTTGCAAGCAATTCAGAAAATCTGAGACAGTATAAAGGATAAAAAGCCGCTCAACATGTGTATAATGACAAATGTGAAACTGTATGCAAAACAATCACAACAACAAAAGCAGCAGCAGCTCCATATTAACCTTTAAAAAAAAAAAAAAAAGCAAACAACACAAACTTAAAACTGATAACTACACTATTACACATATGACCATCAAGCAGCAGAAGGAAACTTGGAAGGAAAATACAGAATAACGAGGAGATGACATTTAAATTAAGGCGGAAGTACGAATAATATTACAGATATTGTTCAGGTCTGGGGGGGTATCTGGATGAATCGCTAAACTAAACTGATTTTTGTCCCTGATCACAGTTTTCTTATTTTTATGATTAACCTATCTTTTCCATAAAGAGCTTTTTTCATGAAGATTCACCTTTTTTGTTTGTTTGTTTTTCTGCAGAGGTGATTATCAAAAAGCCGTGCTGTATATAAAACACACTGCACCTCACAGAGAATTACAACAGGACAAACGATACTGACCGATACCTACTGACCCCTTTAAAGTGGGCATGTGACAGGAAACTTAAGAACTTACCATGGTAAATAGCAGCTCTTTTGATGAATTACATTTGATTGAATATGGCCTCGCTAAACATCTTTACATTTGTGTAAAAGTAATGGTGGTGTGGAAACGGAAGGTTAAGATGTTTTAAGAGTAGGACAATTCCAGTCATGTAATAATTCAAAATGGCCTTTCATGGTTTTGCTCAAGACTAGGGCTTTGTAACTGAACCTGCCCATATTTTTAAAGAACCGTTAAGCTTATAATTACGGTTTGGCAAAAACTACTGCAAAACAAGACTACTATCTTCTTTAAAAATGAAAAAACAAACAAAAAAACAACAAAAAAACAAAACAAAACACGGAGCTTCAACTGTTGAATGGCTACAAAGACTAAAAGAACAGCACATAAATAAACATTTAAAAAAATTAATAGATAAATAAAAAGAAATCCCAAGTTTTCTCACCTATTGCTGCGCCAGAGAACAAAAGCAGCCAAAGGACTCCTCTCACAGTCATGTCGGGTTTCTTGTTTATTATGGCGTTCTCCTTTAAAAATTCTCGAGTAAAACAAGCCAAAAGTACGCAAAAATCTTCTTTGTGTCGAATAAAGAACGAATGGTCTCCGTTTCACCGACTCCTGTTTCTCTTATTTCGACGTTTCCAGCTCGAGTAAACACCTCTTGTTACCTAAAGAATCAGCGCAGGTGACTACAAACACCTAACTTCCGGTAATAAGATCCTGTCAGGTGCCGCCCAGAGGCTGATGGAGAAAAACAGGTTTGACTAGAGCACGCCCAATAGAAACTACATCTCCCCGATAGGAAAGCATGTGTAATGGCTAGTTTGTCAATACTCTAGACATTTCCAGTCTTTTAACCCTCACACATTCTCAGCTGTGTGGGTTCTGCGTGAAACTGATATGCGTGTTTTTAGGCCATGCAAGCGCTTGCAGTTAGGTCCTGCCGTGGTGTTTTCCAGCTGAGTCAGAAGTGAGGAACAGAGTAGACTGTCGATGGCACTGTTTGAATAGATTCGTACAGATTCTTATATTTTTTACCTTGTTTTAATGTTTGTGTGTGCTTCTTGGCCCCTTTTTTTTCTTAATGTATTTATGTGAAGTACGTTTTAACTGTGTTAAGAAAAGTCCTGCATAAATAAAGTTTATTATTAGCACCATTACATTTCATTTTAATCGGGATATAGCTTAACATTAAAATCGCAAGCTTTGCTGTCATTATACTAAAGGTACAGCCGAGCTGTATGCAGCACAATTCAGCCCTAAGAGAGCAATCTGTCTTATTAAACATATGTACAGAGATTAAAAAGAGAATTGCTAATAAATACACCAATATAAAAATACATATTTACAGTTTTTTCTGAATGCTTAAACCCTAACTGTGATTCCTGTAGCACAATCTCTAAAACTATTCAGACTTATAGCAAAACCACTCACTGAGTTTGCAAAACGAAAAGCACAAAAACTGCTTTGCACTCAGTTTGCAATTTTGTAACACACACTTTGCAAAACTGTAGGCACAATTCACTGCACAACACTCAATTACCAAATTTCCAACACACTCCTAGCAAAAGTATACACATGTATGGCTATCATTAACACTAATTTGCCAACTGTCTGGCACACGTTCACATGTGAAAACTTTTTTAGATAACTAGTTCACTTTGCAATCAGCCTAAGCACTATAATACGGGTAAGCTGTGTGTGCGGAGTACAATGGAGGGAGCAGAAAGAGTGAGAAGTAGAGGAGGCCGAGGAAGAGGACGTGGAGGTGAAGAAATAGGATGAAGAGGACGACAAGGACAAGGAGGAGCAAGAGGAAGACGAGGAGGGGGGAGAGGAAGGGTAGGAAGAGTAAGAAATAGAATTGCTGATGACATCAGAGCTACAATAGTGGACCATGTAATCAACCGTGGAATGACCCTGAGGGTAGCTGGCCAACGGGTCCAGCCTAACTCGAGCCGCTACACTGTAGCAAGCACCATAAGGACATCTTGAAATGAGAATCGGTTAGTACAGTCACTTCGCACAAAGATTTGTAGCACTGCCATATGCCAATGAGAAACACACCAATACCATTGATGTAAAAATACTGAAATTGTTACTTTACAGAATTGCTAGATGACCAGATGCTGGGGGCAGAGGAAGCATGTTCACTGCAGACCAAGTAACCCATATAGTCATTATGGCGGTTGCAGATAATCCTATACTTGGAAATGAACACTTGTGTTTGTTTTGATGTGTTTGAATAAACACCAGTACTTGAAGTTTGGATCCCTCTATGCTTATGGATCTATGACAGAAGTATGAGCTCAAACTGAGATAGCCTACCTTGTGCACAGAGAAAGCAAAGGCCAGATGTGTTTTGTATTCATACCATCAGTGTGCATTTGGCGCATTGTGTGCTTAGTAGATGATGGCTTGTGTGCACTGTTTGATACGGAAACACCATTTTTACGAAGGTGTGAAGAGTTAATCTAGCTGTGTTTGCTTTTGCAAGAGAACTACAATGTTTTGATTATTGGGTGACAGGTTTTCTTATTTGTGTGAAGAGTTTTGCAAAATTAGCCAATAGTTACAAAAAATGTGCTTAAGCCATCAGAAAAAACTGTAAGCATGTGTGTATAAATGCATGTTTATTTTAGGTACATTAACTAATGAATCCTTATTGAAACAGAAACAGAAAAAAGTGGATAAATGTGAACCAAACAAACAATGAAACCACCTCCAGTAAGCCTGGTTTTACTGCTTTTGCAATCTGGACAAACAATGAGAGTCAAACTGCTGCCTGACTTTCTGTCTGCCATCTGTTTTCACCTTTCAAAATCTATGAATCAGATTGTATTTTTAGCTTGTGTGTCTCTTATTTCCTCTCATTTTAAAGGCAAGTTCCCCTGCATGAGTAATTGTATTGGAATTGATGTTTAATCAATTAGTAATATTTAATTCATGATTTAAATATAGCCCACATCTGGCTGATATGGACTGTTTCTTGCATCATAATATTCAAAACTTTGTCATATTATCACTTGTTATTTGTAAGATAAAGTTCACAAGAAGTGCTGGAAAGTGAAACTGTGCAAAGGATTCATCAGTACATGATTCGGTACTTTGGACCCCGAGATGACACCGTGCTTTGTTACGCAACGCCAGCATGTTACTGAGTAATTGTTCAAATAATGCTCACAGGCACACGGGATTGGGCAACACGATGACAGGAGTTACTCGGTTCGTTTGGCGCTTCACTGGAAATGTTGCTGTTTAACCGCATGCCGATAACATATTATCAGATCTTCTGCTCACTCTTAGGAAGAAGCATTTTTAGAATTGCCTGTAGATGTAAAATGACATCATGCAACCAAAGGTATGTGGGCATAGAGACACCACATACTTGTGATCATGAAATGTATATGTGCATGTGCATTTTAACAACGTTATTTCTATTTAAAAGAGAGATTAATGATACAACTTTATAAAAAAAATGTATTTTATAAAAGAAAATCCATATTATTTCTTTATTCTGTATCTTCCTGTTTTGGCAGAATACAAACAATCAGTAAAATATTTTTTTTCAAATGGTAGTTGGACTGTATTTCTTGTTTACAAGGACTACTTTCCAGAAGCTGAACTCAAGTGTGAATTTTATTCATTCATTTTATTATTCATTCATTTTCAGTTAAAGGATGCAATTTCAAAACAGATCCTGTCAGTCACAGATTTTTATAGAAACGAGATATTCTTTTCCTTCTCTTTCACTGTTGCTTTTCAACACCTACAAATACAATTTGACTCACTTGGCTCAGCCAAAGGATATGCGCCTTTAGTATAGTATGAAATACCAGACACTGTATACACTCACTGGCTACTTAATTAGATACACCTTTCTACTACTTGACTGGACCCCCTTTTGTTTCCAGAATCACTTCAGTTCTTAATGTCACAGGTTCAACAAGGTGCTGGAAACGTTCCTCTAAGATTTTGGTCCGTATTGGCACAAACTGCTGGCTGAACATCCATGATGCAACTCTCTTGCTCCACCACATCCCACAGCTGCCGATGACACTGAGATCTGATGACTGTGGAGGTCATTTGAATCCTGTAAACTCATTGTCATGTTAAAGGAGCCAGACTGAGATGATCTGAGCTTTGTGACATGATGCGTTATCCTGCTGGAAACAGCCATCAGAACAGGCTGACCTCAGGAGAAAACAGTGCACCAGTGAAAGAATTTTTAATGTAAATTCATAAATTCATAAAGACTGAGTATCTGACTTAGCTTATAGTTTCAAACATGTACTAAATAAGCCTCAGCCAAACATGGCTTATGTGTTTTAGGCACACGTGAAAGGCAAAATTTAAAAAAACTGTGTTTGGGTGTCTTTGCAACTGTAGTTGAGGGACTTGATACAGACTATTGATCCTCTCCTCAGAATAGAATAGAACACGATAGAATAGAGAAACTTGATTGCATGCAATAGTAAGTCAAAACATCATTTGAAGCTTACATTAAAACCCTGTCGGCTATCTTCATTGCTCCATCCAATTTCTATTGACAAATACACAGCACGGTCTCCCGTTAGTGGGCCTGTGCAGCACAAGGTCACTGCCATCTGCTGTCATTTTTTGACAGCCAGGAGGAGACACTAGGGACAGATTTCAGTCAGGCAAAATAGATTGCTTACCTTAACGAGCGACGTGACTCAGCAATACTTCACATTGGAGAGTGCAGCGTTGCACTTTAGAGCTGTGAAGATCTCACTCATTAGATGGAACAGCAAAACTAGTTTCCATCCCTTCTTAAAAACCCTCTAAATCAGACAGTTTTTGTCTTATTAAAGAAGCAATCTGTCAATATCTTTGACTACATCTGCTACAATGATAGAATCTAGATAGTGAGCACTGCAGAATCTAGGATTTCAATTTTAAATCATGCTTTTTTTCTCATTAACCCTACTGAAAGTCTGCCAGATACAACAGGTAACTTATAGCTTAGAGCTGATATTAGTTTAGAGTATAGTGTATATGCAGCAGTATGTGTGCTTAGTATTGAGTGCATAATGCCAAGTGTGCAAGTGTGTGACATACCAAATATATACTGTGAGTACATTCAGTTTAACTTATTGCACTTTGTGCATACACGCAACTTCGGGGGAGTACAGCATCAGTGACCAGATGGTTATGGTTGCAGTGTTAAGATATGCAGCAGTTTGGCGCCTTCTTCACAGCCAGTGAATTTCCAGCAGCATGGGAAAGGTCATCAAGGTCAACAGTAGGCCACTGCAGCTTTGTAATAGGACACTCCATGCAGAACAGGGGAGGAGGAGCTCTGCGATAAGAAAAAAGCAACACAAGTTCACAAGGACGCGCGTTTTGTTTGTCAAGCTCACATGTTCTATTCTTATTTGTAAAAATAACAGGAAGTGCACATATGGGTCAAACGAGCATGAGGATAAGCATCTTACTCTTCTCGACTACCGAAGTTTTGGTCACAGGGGCCGAGTCGCCCACTTTGATGTTGCAGGTGAAGGTGGACTTGCCGTTGGGCAGGTTCTTATACAGCAGGCGACAGATGTTGCCTGGGAAGATGCGGGCTTTGGCACGTTTCTTGAAGGGGGCGTGCTGCTCCTCCGATGGGTCAGTGGTGTCGAAGAGGCGTTCACCGTGCGTATACTTGCAAAAGACTTCTGATGACTCAGAAGGAAGTGAGTATTTGCAGTCCATCCTG